CTGTAAGCATAAGGACCCGAGTTCAAATCCCTAGCATGCATATCAAAATCTGGGTGTGGTCACATTCATACTTATAACCCCAGTACCAGGGTAGGAGACGGGGGATAAAGGGTGGTAGGATCACTGGGGCTTGCTGGCTGCCCCAGGTTCCTTTAATCAAGGGAGCAAGGCAGAGAGTGACAGAGCAGGACACACACATGTAAACACACACACTCATGTGCATATACCACAGATACACATATAACACACACACACACCACTCCCACACACGAGAGAATAGAAAGCATTTAGAAAAAGGGAAGAAATTCAAAGTTGTAACATATGCTAACATCAAAAATATAAAAATATGTAAGAGTAAATCAGAGATATGTTAGACTTCTCCATAGAAAAATTCCAAATGTTATCTGCAGGAATTTTAAAGTCTATAAACACATGGGAGGATATATCATGTTTGTGAAATTTCAAGGTTCAATATTGTAAAGAATATTTTACAAATTGATCCTACTACAGATCCGATGCCATTTCAGTGAAAACCAGAGCAAGTTTTGTTCATTTTCTGGAGACGGGTAAGTCAACCTAATTTAAAAACTCATGCAGAAATGCACATGACAATAAGACACCTGTCCCAATGGCTGCTGAAACTTTCTGCTGAGCAGCAGCCTTTAAAAAACAAACAGGAAAAGGAGACTTGGCCCAAAGAACTAACAAATCAAGCAACAGAATCAAGAAGCCCAGAAGATGCCTGGAGTACCAAGATATTCACAGAAGGGACCCTGGGCTGGGCTCCTAGAGAGAGAGAGCATCCTCCCTCCATGTAATTTGGGGTAAAGGTCATTATCCCCCGTGGACCACAGTGTCCTTATCTATCAAGCACCTGGGTCAGGTCACCAAAATTCAGACTTGAAATCAGAATAAAGTGACTCAAATATTTCCAGTTTGCAGGGTTTCTAGTTCCTACTTCTACCCACCAACAAGATTGTTTCATAATTTTCCATGAAACAATACAATATTTTGTGGTGGGTAGGGGTAGGGGCAAAATCTGGGATTTTGGGTTCTAGGTATGGGTTGCTGAGTCTTGTCTTGATGGCCCACTTAGAAGGAAGGCATGGAAGCCAGGCATGGTGATGAAGAGCTGTATGTAAGCACTCGGGAGGCAGAGAGAGGTGGGTCTCTGTGAATTCAGGGCTAGCCTGATCCACATAACAGGTTCCAGGACAGTTGGAACTTCATAATAGGACCCTGTCTCCAGAAGGAGAGAAAAGGGTATAAACACAGTAGCTGTTACACAGACCTGGTCTTAACATACTATTTTTCATTCATGTGCACTTTTCTTTTCTTCCTTTTTTCAAGACAGGGTTTCTCTGTGTTGGCCCAGCTGTCCTGGAACTCACTCTGTAGCCACCTGCCTGCCTCCCAGGTGTTGGGATTAAAGGCATGTGCTGCCACCACCACCTGGCTAATTTTTTCTTGGCATAGGGTCTCATGCAACCTTGGTCTGGAATTTCATATATCCATCAGGCTGGGTTTGAACTTCTGATTCTCCTGTCTCCATCTTCCAAGTGCTGGGATGATGGGCATGAGCCACCGCCCTGTGCTCATTTCCATGCTTATGAAGTTTCTGACTAAGCCACTGTTGGCGCCTTGGGGCCCATACCCTCGAGGGGAAAGTCATGAAGATGAATTTAAATCCGCCTATAAAGCCCTTAGGAGAGTCTGGCTCAGACATTATTTAGTAAGTAGAAGCTACTAAGGACAACACACTAGAGAAGGAGCTGGGCTACGGTGCCTCTGAAGACAAGATAGGGAGTAATAAGGTAGACTAGTCAGCTATCATCTGGTGACTCCTGACTAGTCGTCAGTTAGATCTGTGGAATGAGAAGAGTGTTAATTCACCAAGTCTTCGGACGACGTCTCCTTACTTGGTGGCAGACTGCCTTCCAAACGGTAACTAGATACCTAACACAATTCTGCTCTGCACAAATACCAGACAGATCACGTGCATATCCCCACCACACGCTCGTACGTGCGCGCGCGTGCGTGCGCGCACGCACACACACACACACACACACACACACACAAGTGTATGCACACACTTGTGCATGCACACACACACAAGTACAGTCTAACATTCTTTCATTTTCATGAATACACAGCAACCCTTCATCTTTGGCTGGGGTAGCTTACAACCTGGCTAATACTTAGTTGGTTTCCTGGGCCTGTTTCTCACACAAAGACTCCTTAGTTCATAACTGCCCATAAAGAAATGGTCTTAAAGCCAACCAAAGCCGAGGTTCTCTGTTCCAAGCCCTATTACAGATCTGTGATTTAGGCCTGAGAGTGCCTGCATGGACGAATGGTAGGGCGCCAGGCTGATGGCTGTGGGGAGGACCTGGCCTCCCCTCTATGGGTTCCCCACCACTCAGACACTCCCTCCCTCACTTCTGGGCCCCACCATGGCCCATGGAGCTGCGCAAGCCCAATGTTTGATTGATCCCTCTAGTTTCTCCATAGACGTCAATCGAGATGCTTTTGAAGGCAGAAGACTATAATAATAAAGCATGATTAACTCGAGAGCTTTGCTTTAGGACAGAGGACAGTGGTGTGTGAGTGTGTGTGTGTGTGTGTGTGGTGTCTGAGTGTATGTGTGTGTGTATGTGTGTGTGTGTGTGTGTGTGTGTGTGTGTGTGATTTTCATTCCCCCCAACAAACCCTGTCCCCAAGTCCCCAAGTCCCCATCTTTTTCCATGCCTTCTTCTGTGTGTGACCAGTGCGTTTAGACTTTCACCCTCAGCACACCAGAAGCTCCTCTTCCTTCCCTGTGGGGAAGTATGTGGGCTGCGGGGGATTTGAACCACCTTCTGGTTCTTGCTGCTACCCTTTCTCCTGCTTCTCCCAGAAAGACTCTGCCTTGGAAACCCTTTACCATGTTAAACCAAAACGACCAGAACAAACGTTGTTTCTTGATCAAATCTCGGTTACTTTCTCCGTCTCTCCAGGCGGTGGCTAGTGGCTACTGCAGAGACTCAGAACTCGTGGAGGTGCTCATGATAAATAAGCCCGAGTGCTCAGCTGTGGATGAATCAACTATATTCACCTCCTTCCACCCAAAGCTCAGGGGATGTGGCACGGTGGTCTCTGGACGTGATGTGGCTGCTGCATACATCAGCTCACAGCAAATGTGGTTGTCAGCACGAGATCAAGCCAGGCAAAAGTCCAACATGATGGGGGAGGGGACCTTAAGGTCCCAACCATTTTGGAAGGCCTGCTGAGGGACGGGCAGTCACTTTCCTTTGGAAGGTCGTCCTTGCTCCAGTGGACAGTTCCTCCCCGTGTGCATACAGGCCGGACCAATTGGACTGTGGTTTTACTAATAACAGCAAAAAAGGAGGCGCCAAATGTGATGGAGCACAACTTTAATGCTAGCACTCTGTGAGTTCCAAGCCAGCCTGGGCTACATAGTGATCAGAACCTGAGAGACTAAAGAGCTGTAACTATGAGTCGACCCACCAGACAGCAGGGACCCGCTCACAAATGGTGAGCTCACACCTCACACGGTGGAAGGGAGCAAGGCAGTCTGTGTCTTCCTGAGACCAAGGGGCACCTTCATCAGCACCAAGTCAACTCTGCTTCCCTTTGAATTTTATAAACCAAAGCAGTTAGGAAGAAAATACTTTTATTTTATAACTAACATTTAGAGACACACATCTGATAGACTCCTGAGGATTTTTTGTTGTTGTTGGTTTGTTTTTTGTTTTTCAAGACAGGGTTTGTGTAGCTCTGGCTGCCCTGGAACTCACACTGTAGACCAGGCTGGCCTCGAACTCAGAGATCCACCTGCCTCTGCCTCCTGAGTGCTGGGATTAAAAAAGTGCGCCACCATGGCCTGGCTCCTAGGGAATTTTTAAAAGACACTGGACTATTCACTTTTAGTGAGCTGAGAAACTTCCTCAGATCATCTTTAAAAAGGATTGGCTGGTCTCTGACTAAAGTTTAGCCTCTGAGCCATGGGTGCAATGTTTAGCAAGTGAAATCTCTAGACTTCATGCTAAGCACTGCATGGCTAGTGTGGGACCCCAAACTACTAAGACCTGATTTACATGTCACAGTAACCGGGTACAGACGCAGATACTGTTATTTTCCCATCCTGTAGAGGGAAACATAGTGAGGTTAAGTCATTTGTCCAGAGTCCCTTTGGGGCTGGTGAGTGAACTCAGGAGCCTGGCTTGTCCAAGAATGAGAACAGGAACTGTGTGATGCATTGACTCCGGGGGAGTGGAAGCGTGATGCTTAATTGGCATTATATTTTCCTTGTGCCAGCTCTCACAGGCACTACGGATCCTGACTTACAAGAAGTGGTGATGTCCTGTCCCTGAGCTCCCTCCCCTTGGTAACCTGACATCATGGCCCTGTTCAAGGTCACAGAGCTCTGTGACTCTGTGACCCACCAGTGTCCCTGGAGGAAAGGGCCAGACTTCTCACTGCAGGGTTGTGGGACACAGGCTGCCCACCAGGACTGTCCCTTCTCTCCTGCTGCTGATTAAAACACCAGCACCACACCAGGAAAAACAGGAAGCCGGTTTCCAGATACACCAGAACAACAGCTCCACTGTTCCCAGGCCCTGGCAGGAGGCTGCTGCTGCCTGTGCAGGGGCCCTGCAGGGAAGCGGGGGAAGCAGACAACCAGCCTCAGGGCTGTGCTGGGCAGGCCACAGGCAGTCTTGCAAGGACTGTTTCTCTAAAGCAGCCGCTCAGCTCCCCTGCTCAGTCCCAGGCTACAAAAGGCTGGGGGCAACAAGGTCACTAAGTAGGTGCCCCTTTTCCACACCTGGAAGGTGGGTCCCACAGTTTACGAAGCATGGATGAACAGAGTGCTCAGGAGATGTGTTTACTCAGGACGCCATAGGGGCAGGGCCCAGACCTGGCTTGCCTACTTTCAAGGCCTCCAGTTTGATGTGGTTTTCATTATGGAATGCTGTGAAATTTATTGAATTTGGCCAAAAGAGGGTAGCTTGATTTTTATTTGGCTAACAAAATAAACGGAGAAATCAATTAAGTTAGCATCAGTTTCTTCATAAAGGAAAACATTTAGCGGGGTTTGGTGGCTCATGCTTGGAAGAAAAGTATATAGAGATGTAGCTGAGGTAAAAAGTGGTTAGAGAGACATGCGATGCCACTTACTGTTTGCAGGGGGTGGGACATAGAGAGTGCACTGTTCAAGCTGTTTCAAGCAGGCTTTTCTTATGGGTTTGCGTGTCTGCCGTGGGCTCCACTCCCCATCAGGCAGTTTTTGACAGATAGTCACATTTGGAGTAGCCCTGCATGCAGTGGCAGGCACTCAGCCACTCGGCGGGTGCTGCCAGGTGCCGTGTTTTCAGCAACGGTGCTGGAGGGTGGCTTGCAGCATCCCTTCTTTTGTGTGGTTTCTAGGCAGTGCCTGGGCCGTGTTTGTGCTCTGACCTCACAAAAGGAACGTTTGTCCCATTAACCACTTGTGGTTTGCTGCTGCACGGTCACGGGATGACATGCACGGTCACGGGGTGACATGCAGATTTCCAGACCTCTTCAGAAACACGCTGAGGGCTTTGTTTTCCACCTGGAGAACAGGGGGCTCCATTCACCACGTGCTGCAAGGGCTGACACTGCGCAAAGGCCCTCCGGGCATGCAAAGCTCCCCTATCTGCCCTGGAGGTTACCATCCATGTCCCTCAACCCACAGGAAGACTTTACGATGACGTGATCACAGTGAATTTAGTGTGTGCCCACACCCCCAAAATGTGCACTGCATTTTTATGAGCTTAGCTTATGGAAAAGCTACTCTACGTAGTCCATTCTTACTTTCCCCACTATGCGCTGACTGCCCTTAAGATTCACTCATAAAGCTATGCACATCAGGACCAACATCTGCTTGATAAATGCTCCTTTATGTGGCAGTGAGTTTTAATTGTCAACTCGACACAATCCAGATGCACCTGGGTAGAGAGTCTCAGTGACGAATTGTGTAAATCAGGTTGGTTTGTGGGTGTCACATCAGTGAGGAATTACAGGAATGGATGTAGGATGACCTGCCCACTGTGGGTGGCATCATTCCCTAGGCTCGGGTCCTGGACTGTATAAAAGAGACAGTGGGCTGAATAGCAAACACGCATACATTCCTTGCTCTCTGTTCCTGGCTATGAATGTGATGTGACCAGCTCCCTGTCCCTGTGACTTCTCTGCTCTGATGGACTGTCTGTCACCTGTAACCATAGCCCTTTCCTCCTTACACTGTTTTTTCAGGGGATTTTTATCACAGCTCCAGGAAATGAAGCCAGGACAGTGCATGTCCCTCGTGGCATTTAATGGCCTGCCTGTCACCCCATCCTTGTCTCCTTTAGTGTCTCTGGTCACCCCCATGCATAGTCTACATGTACACGTGTCTGCGGCCCCAGCATACTATCAACAGGGTCAGGTGGGTAGGACAAATGTCCCCAAGTCTCTATTTTAAGAGAAACTGCATGTGCCATAATTATAAGGACTCAGTTCTCTTTATTGAAAAAGTGATGACTTTAATAATTGAGCGTGCATGAATTTTTAAAATTCTTACTTTTTACCCGTCTCCCTCGAGCCCATTTTGAAGCAGCTGTCCTTGGAAGGGCTGAGTGTGAATGGTCCTAAGACCCTCAAGGGATGTTTCTGAGGTCGTGCTTCACATTTGTCTGAGCAATGCACATTCCAGAGAAGAGGAAAGGAGGTATCAACAGGGGCGGGGCAGGGTGACGGCCCACTTGGCCATCGCCACATGAGGGCAGCTTATGACTGCAATTCTCCTCTGCTACCTACAGCAGGCAGGCGCACACGGATTGCACATTCCACACCACAGGCACGTGCACCATCATGAGAACCTCACAGCAGCTGTACATGGCCAGGGTAAGAGCAGTTTCTGGTTAGAAGCAAAGAAAGCTCAGTGGGTAAGTTCAAGGTCCAAACGGGGTGGATGGGAAGCCAGCCTAGTAGGGTAGTCCTCACTGCTCTCTCTCCACCACAGTGACAACGCTCCTCTATGCATTCTTTGGAAATCAAATTCCAACAGTTGGTGCTGTTGCCTATTAGGGTTCCAGTGAAACACCCCCCCCATCCTGGGAACTTTTGCTCTAGAGGTATGTTTGTCTCTCAGGATCATGGTGAACCACCGGGGAGGCACTGGGGAAAACTGAGGAGCCCCAGAGGGCTGGCTGTTGCCTCTGGGCACTCATCTCTCTTTGAACCTGAAAAGATCTTAGGAATCTTATCCACCAGGGTTCTGGCGGAAAACAGACGGAATAAGGGGGCCCATTTACTCGGGGGCCCGACTGCAGGGCTCTGGGACCAGTCTCAGCGGCACATTTCCATGTTTAGGTGGGAGGGGTCTAGAGAAGAAAGGTCACTGGAACTAGACACAGTGCCAGGAGCCAAGATCTTTGGTGATGTCACAGGGTGGAGCTAGGAGAATCAATACTTCCTTCCATCTCTCCCTGCTCCTCATTGAGCAAAGAAAACAAGAAGATGGGAGGAAGCTAGGACACCCATTCATACAGTTCCTACTGGGGAGCATCCAGGGCACAGACAGGGTGGGGAAGAGTTGTGGGAGGGACAGAAAACAGCTGGACCAAGAACTCAGTCACTCACAGCAGTTGGACTTGAAAAGCTCTGCCTCTGGAAAGGGGAGCATGGACGGAAAACAACAATAGTGGTAGTGCTGGGCTATGCGCTTGCCCACCTGCCAGTCCACGCTGTTCTGCGTGATTCCAGGCCATCTCCTTACAGGCGTCCTACTCTGTGACTCAAGCTCAAGCCTTAAAATATAACAGGGCTTCCGTGTCGGTTGGGACTGTGGGTGTCTGTTTTCTGGGTGGTACATTCCAAGGCCACCCCTCCCTGGTACAGCTAGCATTCCCCAGAGCTACTCCCCGAATGCCTGGTGGTTCATACCTGTCTGCAACACTGGGTGTGGGAAGTCCAGGCGTTTACAATGCAAAGGGATCAGGGCTCGGAATCAGAACCAGGCAGCGGGTGCGGGCAGAAGTGGGTCTGGAAGACAAATCTGCAGGTCTATGTGAGGAGCAGCAGGAAGAGGGAGGGAACATTTCCGTGCAACCACCAGCTAAGAGGTTGGGGGGGGGTGGCCCTCGGTGACCTGACCATGCTCTCCCACCCTAGCCACATACGGAAATAGCTGTGCATTGACCCACGAGCTGCCCAGGCCTGGAAAAATACTCCAGGATATTAAAAAAAAAAAAATCACATGTTTTCCCAAGCCTTTCAAAACTTGACTAGAGAACTGGCTGTCTAAAAAAAGAACAAATCACTGAGATCCTTCAAGCAGGCATTATCTGCACCACGAGTTCAAAGGAAAAGACCAAAATGTTGTTTGAGTCTCAGTTTCCTTTAGAAATTCTATCAGCCTGTCCCTTTATGAAGCAAGACAAGCTCCCTAACCCTTTAACAACAGTTTGTATCAGTAAGAGTTCAGCAATGGCCACAGATGACCACTGTCATCAGATGACGGCGACGGCTCTGAATGGATGGAACGGAAGGCTCCAGAGAACTCTGGCCAGGCTCCCTGGTTTTTATATCCATTCATCCCATCCCTACCTGATTCTGCCACCCTTTCCTGTTTTTCTGTTTTTGCAGGCAACAGAGCTGCATGGAAGGCTTGGGAGCAGAGAGTAACGAGACTGCATGGTGTTTGATAAGTCACTGAGAAGATGGCGATGATGGTGGTGAGGAGGAGGAGGAGGAGGGAGAGGAGGAGGGAGAGGAGGAGGGAGAGGAAGAGGGAGGAGGAGGAAGAGGAGGAGGAGGAGGAGGAGGAGGAGGAGGAGGAGGCCGCCGCAACAATCCAGAGTGAGGAAGCTGAGTGAAGAGCTGTTTTAGATACTGCAGCCCGGAAGCAAGGGTAGACAGAAGAACCTCCCAAGGCTGGAGATGACCCATTTGGTAAAGTGCTTGTGGTGCAAGCATGAGGACATGAATATGACCCGAAAACACATGTGACAAGCTGGGCATGGCGGCACATGCTTGTAATCTGGGCACTGGGAAGGCAGAGAGAGGCCAACCCCTGCGGCTGCCTGCTGGTCTAATCAGGGAGCCTAGATCCCAAGAGAGGCCCTATCTCAAAATGTAAGGGGGACAGTGCCTGAGGAATGGCACCTAGGCTGATCTCTGGTCTCCACATGTATGTACCCATATAAGCACGTGTACGTTCATACATGTTGGCACATGCACACACAAAACCAAGGCAGACTCCTGCTTCTGCTCTGGTGGGCCATCTCTCAATTTCTCCTTCTGCGCATCTCCTCTTCATACTGAGGGTATTTTTCAGATTTGGGGAGGTCAGAACTCTGGGGTCTCATGCTTTCCTCCGAAGCCTGAAGGAACGGTCTATTCCTCCTGATGCTTCAGAGACGGCCAAGCTCCTCTAAATGGAGTTAGCATTCAAACCAAAGAGAGGGGCTGGCAAGATGCCTCAGTTGGTAAATTGCTTGTTGCACAAGCATGAGAACTCAAGTTCAAGCTCCAGCAACCACGAACAAAGCTGGAGACGGTGCACACTGCTGTAGTCCCAGGGCTGGGGAGGTATCCTGGGGTTCACTGGCTAGCTGGTCTAGTCAGTCAGTGAGCTCCAGGTTCAATAACCTATCTCAAAAAAAAAAAAAAAAAAAAGTGGAGAGCTGACAGAGGAAGACACCTGATGTGGACTTCAGGCTTCCACTTTTGCACACACACACAGACACAAGGGCACACATACACCATAAACACACGGAAACACAAGCACACCATGGACACATGCACATACAGACACACACAGATACAAGGACACACATACACCATAAACACAGACACAGACACACACACACACACACACACACACACACACACACGCACGCACATAAACGTGTACATGCATAAACACAGAGACACAAACATGTGGTCAGATGAAGGGCTGTTTTGCTAGCAGCCAGTCAGGGTAGGGAGCCAACTTTCTTCTACAGAATTCTTCACAGGAACACTCTTTTTCTGTCCAGTTCTCCAGCCCTGGACAGACTAAAGCAGTTCTGGCCACGGGAATACGTGGCAGAGTTCTAGTGAGGAAGGCTGTGTCCCCCGCTTACTTTCTGCCTAAACTGTAAAAACTCTTACACAGAAGCAATAACACACGGACTTGGCCAGCACTCTGGTCCAACAGGGACAGCATCTGACTCACTGTGGCTTCTCTACATAGAAGTGTGAATGAGAGGAACTACCTGACCTTCGTAGCAAGAGGCTGAGCTTGTGTCTGGCTTATGAAGCCCCCTCGGAGCCCACGGGGGCGGGGGGGGGGGCATGTGGTGGGGCTGTGTCAGGATGTGACACACCGTTTGCTAAGTGAGACACTTAGACAAGCTTGTGATAAGGACATCCTTGCTTGCCTTCAGCATTTGACCCCAAGGTTCCGGATAGACTCTATTGGTGTCAAAGCTTACACAGCAACCTAAAGCCACACCGAAGGAAAGAGGAGCGTTATGTATCAGTCTTCCACACGCCCTCTTCCCTAGTAACTCGTGTTCTGTGTGGCCTGTAACTTTTCCCTGTCCCTGCCCCGAGATCAAGTCAGGCTCCCCCTCAGGGTTTAAAGATGTTCTGTTACTGCCGTAGTGATAGCAGCAAGGAAGCCTTTACACCAGGCACCATTTCAAAACCTGTGCACACACGTCCCCTCACTGGTCCCCAAAACTGCCCCTTACAGCTCGGCCGCTGGAGATAAGGGAGTAGGAGAGCAGCTTGCCGCTCTAGTGAAAACGGCTGCCTCAGCATGGACAGCACGATTTCTGGCTGCTCTTCCCCGAGTCCTTGCCTCTTGTTAACATCATTTTCCAGAACATGACCCAACTTCCACCACCACCGCCACCGCCACCACAACTGCCACAACCACCACAACCGCCACCACCACCACCATCACAACCACAACCACCAGCAGAAGCAGCGTCACAAAGCTACAAGTCTCTCTTCACACACATATAGTGTTATCTGAGCATATACCCCTCCATATTGCCCTTCCCCCTTTTACCCTTTTGTTCCCCCAACGTCTTAGTTTTTCCTGTGGCTGTGATAAATACCCTGACAAAAACAATTTAAGGGAGAGTTTGTTCTGGTTCAGTCAACGGTACAGTCCATCAAGTCAGGAAGCCAGAGTCGTGGGACCCTGGTCACATGGCATCTACAATCAAGATATAAAATGGCTCCCTTGTTTGTTTGTTTATTTATTTTCATTATATACGGTCCAGGATCCCCCGATGAGGGACTATTCTTGCCCATAGTAAAGATGGGTCTCCCTACCTCAGTGTGACCAGATAATCCCCCACAACCATAGTCAGCCATAGATGGGATCTTCCGCCCCGCCCCAGGTGATTCTAGAGTGTCTGTCGAGTTGGAAACACTAACCATCAAGTCTATCTCCCCTTTTACATCATCAATACAAACGACTCTATGTACCTGTAAAATCTAGGCTCCACAAATGAGAGAAAATGTGATATTTGCCTTTCTGAATTTGATTTAATTTACTTGACACAATGGGGATCTCCAGTTGTATCCACTTTCCAGAAAATGATCTAAATTCCTTCTCTTTGGCTGAAAAAAAGATTTCCATTGTATACATAAACCTACTTTCTTATTCAGCCCTCTGATGCTGACATCTAGGCCGGTCCCATCACTCTGTGATGGTGATGGTGATGGTGATGGCAGGGTAGCCGGCGCAGATGTGCAAGGACCTCTGGGGTGTGCCGACTTGGGGTCTTTCGGGTGAATACTGAGAAGTGCTGTAGCTGGGCCACGCAGAAGCTGTGTTTCTAGCTCTTGTTTCTGTTTTCTCTATATTGATTTCCACAGTGGCGTGGCTAGTTCACATTCTCGCAATAGTCTGTCAGTGGACTCTTTTGTCCCCATTCTCATTGGTATGTTGCTTTTGGATTGTCATTCCGACTGCAGTGAGATGGAATCCTGGTGTAGTTTTTGTATGCATTTCTCTGAGGGTTAGTGGTGGTGAACATTCCAGTTTTGCACAGAACCTACACTTTCTCCTCAGCCCTGTGGTTGGTAGACCAGTTGGTTGGTTCAGACTTGTACTTGGCTCTTGATGGACAAGAAGAGTACAATTTGCCCACCACCTTCTCAAACTGTCCCAAGCACCCGAGGCCCATCATAGACCAGCACTATGTTGCTAACTTCAGGGGCCTGACAATTCCTGAAGCTCCACCCACACAAGTCTCTCTCTTGAGTTGTACAATGCCGTGCCTCTAAGACTGGGGTACTGAGGAGGGTGTGGGACCCGGTAGCACCTGTCATGACAACAGGCCTCTACGTAGAAAAGCAGCCCCACATGCCCTGTGGCTCTACTGTAATGTTCCTTCACAGTGACCCCTGGCTGACCCAAGACATCATCTCTTTTAAAAGGGATGCACAGTAGAGACAGCAGGGTAGGATAATATACCCAAGAACAGAGGGACAAGAAGACAGAGTGGGCAATGTCACCTGGAAGAACCCCAAGGGTTCTTCCCAAGGGGAGCTATGGGTACCAAACTCTAAAACGATAATGTGTTTCTGTGGCCCCACAACTCCTTGTGTTAGGAACAATGAGCTGCCCAAGAGGCCACGAGAGCTACAGAGACCAGTGATGACCAGACTGTTTGCTGTGGTGTGTGCTGAGTTTTCCCACATCCCTGGAGATGTTTATGAAGAGTTCTCATCCAGAGACGAATGAGGCATTGCTCTGATGAGTTGAAAGAGACAGGTCAGAACAGGGCGGTACTGGATGAATCTGAGCTTCAAAGAGATGAAACGACCTGCTGATACAGACACTGATGGCTGGCTGCTCACCCATCAAACACCCTCCTCTTCCCCCTGGTAACAGTATTCTCCGTATCTTTAGGGATGGCAATCTGCCCGGCTAAGACTCCCTGGCTTACAGTCAGGTGACCGTGGGACAGTGTACTGACCAAAGAATTTTGTGAAGAGCTTGGCTGACATGACACAGGGATCTCTTTTCTCCTCCCTTCTTCCTACTCAGCTCACTCAGAGAAAAGGCAGAGCCGCATTGTGCCCACAAGGATAAAAGCCGTTGCCAAGAACAGTACAGGAGGAAGATAACAGACTGGGTCACTGATGCACCACACGAGCCCGGACCACACGAGCCCGGGACAGGCTCTCTCCGTGTTTCTCACATATCACCACACAAGCCGGCTACAGGCTCTCTCCAAGTCTCTCATCATGTCAGAAAACTTACTTGCTTAGGCTAATTGCTATGTTTGGGATATGTCTGTCCTCTTCTGAGTTCATGTGCTGCAAGCTTGGCTCTTAGTGTGGCGATATGAGAGGTGGCGTGTCCTTTAAGAGGTAGGATCCAGTGGGAGGTCCTTAGGTCACTGGAGGAAATGCCCTCAGAGAGGACTGCTGGACCCAGTACCAGCTTTCCTGTCTGCCCTGCTTGGATGAGCAGCTGTGGAACCATTAGGAGGCAGACTCGCTCGGAATGGGTCTTAAGTTTATAACCTGGCCACTGGTTCCAAACTTGTTCTTTGCTTCTTGGTCTCCTGTGATATGTGCTGA